CCCCCCCCCCCCCCCCCCTCTCCTCTCCCCTCTGCCCCCGCCTCCCCCCCTCACATTGTACTCTATTACTCTGTCTCATTGACAGTCGGTAGAAAGTAACAGCCAACCAGCAAAGTGATGAAAGGATGTAAAAACAAAATAAAAAAAGTGGAAAATTGGTAGCCAGCCACAGCTTCGCGAAACTATTGTCCAACAGATATCTATATACGTACCCGTCCCCTCCCCTTTACGCCAGGTATCGTCTCGCCACCCCTCCCAATCTCCAAGATCAACTCCAAGATCAACCATCGGTAGCAAAACGCTCTACATCAGCATTTCCTTTTCCTTCATCTCCGACTGCCTCAGGAATGCCGCGCGCTCCTCCAGGTCCTTTGCTTCTGCTAGTCTCCACTGCTCCAGTACCTCTGCCTTGCGCGCTGCACTGCGCGGCTCAAATGCCATCTCAAATGGATCCGGCTTGATGATAAGCAAAGAGTTGGACTTGTTCAGCGGCACTTCAATTTCCTTCATCGTCGCTGGATCAACCTTCTTCTTGAGATTGAACGCCCACATCAAGGCTCCACATCCTGTGACAGTTTCATCGCGAGTGATGGACATACCAAGGCATTGGCGTTGACCCCATCCAAACGACGTCATGCCCACAATATCAGGGTACTTGGTGAGCGGCTCGCGAAACGTTGGCCATCCGGCCTCTAGCCATCTCTCTGGTCGATACCGCTCTGGGTCTGGGTACTTTGCTGGATTTCGGAGGAAGGCATAGTCCAAGGGAAGGATACGTGTGCCTTTGGGGATAAAATAACCTCGGAACCAGTCATCGGCTTCGCATTCATGTGCGACACCTATATCTACGGATTAGTCGATGTAAAAGTGAACCCAACTGCACAATGACTTACCTGTCGGTACTGTCGGTTTCCATCTCATGGTCTCTTTGATACAGGCGCGGAGCACCGGAAGCTTTGGCAAATCGGCAAGAGAGGGTGGCGTCTTCCCACAGACACGATCGATTTCCTCCTGACATTTCACCTGCCATTCTGGATGGTGAACCATAGCAACCAAGAAATAATACAAGGGACCGGCGACAGTGAAGATACCAACCAGAGCCATCATCCCAATAACGGAAGATGCCTCATAGTCCCCAGAGATGTTCGTCTTCTCAGCCGTCTCGAGATAGGTCTTGGTGAAGCAAGATCGCTGCTTGCCCTTTTGCATCTTGCTCCTCGTTTGTTGTAAGATGGCCAGCCACCAAGCCTGTTGGTCATCGTGTCGTTTGCGCTCTCTCAACTTCCAAGGGTTGATGGGCTCTGGAAGATAGTCCCACAATGGAGTGAGTACGTTTGTGAGGGGGCCTGCAGGTGACATCTGGGTAAGTAGGCCCCAGGCGCTGGGAGTCAAGGGAACACTGAGCGTATCGTCATCCCAAGTCAACTGGCACATGACCTTGGAGCACATGTCCTCGAGAGAAAATGCGAAATCATCAGGGTTCTCCACGAGTCTTGCCATCCATCGTTTTGCTTCGTATTCCATTATGCCATAGTAACGGTCGTTGGTAGCTCCAGTGAGGTATGCGTGCGTAAACTTTCGCTGACGAGCCCAGTATTCTAAATCTATCAGTAGGAGCCATCTGTACCACGTTGGGCCTTACTTACGATTCTTTCCCATCAATGGAAGGTACTCCATCGAACCATAGGTACTCTTTGCATCAAAAAGCGACTTGATTTCTGGACGGTCAGAGTATATCTTAGCTCTCTTGACCAATAAGTCCTCAGCAATCTTCTCATCAGATATGATGATGAAGTTGGCTCCCAACATCTTCGTCCGGTAAATTGGTCCATACTTCTTCGCCCACTCGTCAAACTTCAACCACATGAAGTCAATGGGCAGGTCGTGGACGCGGCCTAGCCATGGCACAAGAGCTGGTCCTGGTAATCCTCGAGGATTGTACTTCGCATTGTATTTCGTGGCAGCTTCGACAATGGCGTACAACGCGACGCTAACAATGGCTATCCCAAGCGCGTATGCAGTGAATGGATGCATTCCGACAAAGTCCGCAATGGGAGAGAGGTACCTGGACGACGCAGTCACAGCTTCAGGGGTATGTTGACGATACAAGACAGATCCACTGTTTCCCTGTGTTTCCCTGGATCGAGATATTGACAATGTATGGTACACTATCAAACTATTTCCGGGGAGGCTGGTAAATATCACACCAAAGGCTCGAAAGGCTATGCTTCTAGTCCGGCTCCCCAATGAACAAGCTAATGAATGGGAAGCCAGGGATCATTAACGGTATATAATAGTACCGCAAACTAAGGCCAACCGCAGCAAGGTGAGTATAGCGAGTGATGGGCCAAGCAAGCGCTTGTGCTGTGGCTGGGCCATTGACTTGCGAAGCGGACGAAGGAATTGCCGATGTTGCGATGGCGGCTGGCCTATAGCCTCTAAGCTCCAGTTTTATCTCTAGATCTCTGACCCAGAGGAGTGGACGCCGTAAAGTCGGTATTGCACGGCGCCGACATATGACATGTCGAGCTCATGGAGGTTGCATTCCAGTGTGACAGCAGGCCAAAAGGAGATGAGATCGTCACGACAGACTCCCAGATGGGACAGACTGAATGAGCAGGAAAGACTCCTCCTTGAATTCGTGGGATTCCCGATGTGGAGTGTCTTCCCTTCAGTCGGGCTCAGGAGCCTGACACATTCGAATGATGATGTAAAACAAACACTGATAAGTAAAACCCCCCTACTGAAATAGAGCACATATCACCCTAGGCACTGAAGATAATTGCTAGCGTTGGAAAGTGTCCCACTTGCTCGACTCGACAAGAGTCTTGCAATCGCTAGCTGACACGATCAATTCATTTGCTTAGAACAACTAAGCCATCAGTCTATGAGCCCACACCTTGTCTTAACAGACGGAGAAGTCTTGTTCGATGTCAAACCTCAGATCACAGAACAGTATGGATCGGTGACATGGCGGAATCTTGTGGTACTCAGTCGTTGTAGGTATTTGTCTTCGATGACTCTCTATTGAACTTCAATGCACCGTAGTCACCCTTGAGATCAATTTTGATCCAGCCTCTGGAAGTTCTCTGCCGCATGAAAGTTCAGATGTACTCATGAGTGTACACTCAATTGACTCGAAGCGATTCTCAGATCAATCACTGTGTATCCCTTGCGCCGCACAGTGTCAGACACCGCAGTCTCAACGTCATGATAAACTGCCAGAGTGATGTTAGCGAACGTTACACGGCGTGGATGCGACTGAGCAAATCGTGCATACTGCAGTCCGTTTACTCGCACGTGGGACATCGCGCAGCCACACAGCAGCGATTGGGCAATCTTTCAGCCCAGATCTCATACTCCTAGATCATAACAGAGATCGAATATGCTGGCCTCGATGTGGGCGCCATATGGAACATAATTATCAGCATTGCCAGGGGTGCCAGGGTTGTCGCCAACCGGAGATTGTGGGGAACCATTGCGCAAGTGTATAGACCCCTGCAATCGGGATTTCGGTACCAAGGCAAGTCACTTCTCGTCATCGACATATGGTTACAGCAAGCAGTGCCGTGTGCCTGGGATTTTCTACCGAATCGAATCATAGTCGCATGGCCCAACTGGTGCAGTCGCAGGGGCAGATGGCGAGACACGACTCTAGGGGACAAGTTGATTGCTCGGACATCCGATGGTTTCGGCAGGCTGAGTGGTACCCCAACGGAGTAGGTGCACGTAGAGGAGCCTTAAGATGAGAAGAAGACGCGACCTCATGGTTTACGTTGATACGAAAGATAGCAAGTCATCACAGCACACTACACAGCACGCCCAGTATGCCTCATGCTCTTACCTCTCGTGACTCCACGATGGAGTCTAAGCCTCTTGGGTCTTACCCACCCTCGGGGATAGACGTCCTCATCGTGGGCACTGGTCTTGCGGGACTCGTAGCTGCACTCGAATGCACGCGCAAAGGCCATAATGTGCGCGTCCTGGAGCGTAACGCCGACATCAACACAGCAGGTGTGCATAGAATCCAATTTCAAAAAATACAAACATGCTTATCTTAGATTGCTAGGTGACATGTACTTCATGGGACTCAGTGCCACCCGCTTCTTGAAGCATTGGCCAGAATTACTGAAAGAGTACAAGGAAATCTCGCTTCACAATGCTTGGATGGAGACCTTCAAACATTCTGGCGAGGTTATCATTCCGCCAAAGAAAGTTGCAGACCGTCTTCGTGCGGTAGGATTGGATCCTGACACGCCACCCGGTGAGTTCCAGATGCGCCCTCTGGTCTACCGGATGTTCGTCAACGCCGTAGAGAAGCTCGGTGTCTCAGTTGAGTTCAACCGCAAGATTGTTGACTACTTCGAGGATGAACACAAGGGGGGTTGCATCACGGACGATGGAAAACGCTATGAAGCGGATGTAGTCATTGCTGCCGATGGTGTTGGCTCCAAGAGTCAAAAACTGGTTGGTGGACAAGTGCGCGCAAGACCTTCAGGCAGAGCTATGTGGCGAGCTGCATTTCCGAAAGAGGCATTGGACGTGAACCCCAAAGTCAAGGAGTTTTTCAAGATGATGCCTGGTGATGAGCCAATTGTGAGGACTTTTCTAGGGTAAGTGATTGACACATGTTGCAGATTTGTGACACTGACAGTTCACAGCCCGTCTACATATGCTCTGACATTGACACGACCGGAAACAATGGTCTGGATTATGAATCACGATGTAAGAATTCTACATCAACCGCGCAGCTGAAAACTAAATCCATCAGGTCACCGGTTCAGAGAAAGAGAGTTGGAGTAACACCATTGACAAAGAGGAGGTGCTCCAAGGTATGGACGAAATGCCAGGTATGGAGGTGCACAAGTGGGCACCCATTTTCAAAGAGCTGGTCGACTGCACTCCTCCCAATACCATTGTCAACTTTGAACTCCTATGGCGCAACCCCCAGCCTAGCTGGACATCCCCTGGCGCACGTGTGATTCAGATCGGTGATGCCGCACACTCCTATCTCCCTGCCTCTGGTAACGGCGCAACGCAAGCCATCGAAGACGCCATCTCCATAGCCTCCTGCCTCCAGATCGGCGGCAAAGAAAACATCCCGCAATCCGTGCGGGTACACATTCGCTTCCGGTACGCCCGATCAATCCATCCAAAGACCTCCTGACCATCTCAACTAACCACACCAAACAGCTTCATCCGCAACTCCTGCGCCCAGAAACTCGGCTTCTCCAACGCCGAGCTCCTGCAGGACACCGACTGGGACAAGGTCAAGATCGACCCGCGTCGCGCGCAACCCAAGCTGCCCAAGTGGGTATGGGGTCATGACCCAGAAGCATATGCGTACGAGAACTACGAGAAGAGCGCGGCGAGTATGAAGAAGGGAATTGATATGAAAGATGAGGACTCCTTTGAGCCAAACTACCCCAAGGGATACAAATACGAGCCCTGGAGCATCGAGAAAGTCATGGAGGATATGAGGGCTGGGAAGCCTCTTGATCTTGGCCCTGGTGATTGGGAGTGATTCTTGCCACTCGAAATTGCGCTGTAGCTATGCAATGACGTATATGTGTGCAATTCATTGTGTGTTGGTGTAGTTCAAAGATAGAGCAGGTTTTTGGGCAATGTATTTATTCCATCCGATTGCACAGCATCTTTTGTACACCTCGAATATTCCATGCCCCTGCAGCATGAATACCGCTCGACGCACAAAGATGGGTATATTCTTGTTCCATCGGAGAAGAAGCCACTGACACGGAAGTGTGTGCGATGCTGACGGCGTGTCTGCCTGTCCCGATTGCGAATATTCAAGATTTGCTAGATGCGTACAAAGACGATTACCGGCTAGTTATCTTGTATCTTCAAATCCAGATGGCCCTAACAAGGCATATATAAATTTGCAAACGCACACGAAACCATGGAATCTAGTGAACTATTCTTTCAGCGCATATTACAATCCCACATATGCAGACATTTACCTCCTAGAAATCGCCCCTATGAGACCCCCAAAGTCCAACAGTCCACCCAGAAAAACACACAAACACAACGAACACATCCAGGCACTCTTACACAAACGCAGTACCACGTTACCTACTCCCCACCAGGAACCCTACCCACGTGCATTTCCTATTCTCTATCAACATGCACCTAGCATGCACTCACACACTCACACACGAAAACCACAACGTCAATCCTTATAGATAGTTCCCAGCTCACTTCGCCTTATCAATGCATAACCATCTCATCTCATCTCGTCTCAGCACAAGCGAGCACGCACGCATCCCATCCGTGCCGGTAACTTCCCCAACCCCTCCCCAGACTGCAACAAGCCAGTGTTCCCAACTTAGCACTCCACTGCATGCTACCTATATCCAACACGTGCAAAATCTCCATCTGTTTTCGGCGCCATGGAAGCGGTATTGCCGGGACAATGGTAGACTACACACCACTCCATCCTGTAGCCTGTGCATACACTGCGGCTCTCCACGGGAACCCCCTCTCTGAGGGATTTCGGTTGCGGTGGTTGACCCACTTGGATGCGGGATTGGGTTTGGTGGTGGGTGTGGGTATGTTGGTACTGGGATGGGATTGGGGGTATCGATGACGCGGCCAAGGTGGAGTTGGTGCAGGGGTGTTTGCTGGGGAGCACGGCCTGGTTTTGGAGTAGGTGGCAGGTGGTGAGATTGGGTGGGGGCTGGGGATGGGTTTGTGATTGGGTTTGGTGGTTGGTGGTTGGTGTTTATGCTGTGGGGATGGCGGGATGGGTGGTTGGGGTGTTGGAGTGAAGTTATGGACACGTGACTGCATTGTCTGTTGAACTTGGAACTTTGATACGGCTCTTGTAGCCCTCATATTGCCGAATCATGAATAAATTCATAACGAATGCTAGCAATTGTCAATGTACGGCAAGACTGTTCCGAAAAGGTGCTGACGCTCTGATGTTGATACTTCTTTTGATTTTTTCGATCCTACTCACTTCTGCAGGCCTAAGCCTCACCGGGTCTACCTAAACACCATGTTTCTTTCAACTCCAAATAGTTTTTTACTATCATCTTTTTCAGGCTTTAAGAATGAATTCGTAGCCAATGAGTCTTGCGATTCGATACATCTTTCCCCGTTCGCGGCCGTAGTAACAGCGCACTGCAGAGGGAGGTGTGTCACTGGTGAGTAGAGGACTTCATTTTGCACGCAATGGGGGCTTAGAGAATGATGTAATAAAAGCTGTCCATCTATAAGAATGACTACATATGAACGAGCACTGCTGGGGTTACGGGGTTCGTGGATAATACACAGAGAATGTGGAGCTTAGGGTCTGAGCCATTTTCTCGACATTGCTAAATTAATATTGTGGATGAATAGACGTGCTTGAATTGCAATGTTTTCTGGTTGTGCATTTGAAAAATAGAGCACTACTTGCTCTAGGGCTGTTCGAACGCCTGTCTGATCTGATTTGCTGACATCCTCCTGCTTCAATCCATTATCTGCTATCATAGCCCCGGGTCATATCCGAGTTTTAGCACACATGCAGTTATTTGAGTGCCACCCCATAACAATCGCTCTTAAACCGTAATATGCTCCATTTGTCTGTTGTTATGCGAACTTGCATGATGGCGCATGATCGCAATGTCGGACCTCCGACCAATTGTACTACTATCTCACGCGTTGGATATTTACGTCATTCCAACGCATACAACCCCTTGATCAGGATCCCGACAGAATGCGAGAATTGGTAAAGAGCAAGCAAACAGTTTCCAGATAGAGAGGTCCCGACGGCCCCACACCATCCTACGCTGTCTTACGAAGTTTGTAGCTTTATCTCGAGCGACCTCGGAGTAGTACACCATTTGATTGATCGAAGTTTTCCTCATCGCCTGCGACTCCACAACAAGGCTGCTATTACTTAATCATACATACAACTTTATACGAAGCCAAGCCAGGCTTTTATCAACCAAGCTTACGTCGCCATGGCTGCCACGAAAGCAATCCTTGTCACTGGCGCAACCGGAAAACAGGGCGGTGCTGTCCTAGAACAGTTGTCTATACATTCATCAAGTGGAGATTACACGCTCCTCGCCGTCACCCGTGACGCAAACTCCGCCTCAGCTCAACGCATCGTCCAGGAGCATCCTGCTGTCAAGATTGTTCAAGGCAACCTCGACGATGTTCCAAGTCTCTTCCAGTCAGCCAAGGCTGTGTTGAGGGAAGCTGGCAAAGCCGAAACGATTTGGGGAGTTTACTCTGTACAAGTCTCTATGGGCAAGAATGTTACATACGACAGTGAAGTCAAGCAAGGCAAAGATCTCATTGACGAGTCTGTCAAAGAGGGCGTAACACACTTTGTCTACTCAAGTGTCGATCGGGGAGGCAACGTGCGCAGCTTCGAGAACAAAACACCCATTCCCCATTTCCAGACTAAATTTGAGATTGAGCAACATCTTCTCGAGAGGGCAGGCAAGCAAGGTGAGCATATGGGCTGGACGATTCTTCGACCCGTTGCGTTCATGGATAACTTGGCACCCGGCTTCCCAACCAAGGTCTTCCTCGCAGCGCTGAGAGACACGTTACAAGGCAAATCTCTCCAATGGGTCTCTGTCGAGGACATTGGTCTATTTGGCGCACGCGCATTTCGCGAGAATGAGAAGTGGAATGGACGTGCTGAGGGACTTGCAGGCAGCGAGCTCACCATGGATGAGATGAATGGATGTTTTGAGCGCGTTATTGGAAGCCCAGTGCCTGCAACGTATGGCTTCTTTGGGTCAACACTCATGTATATGGTCACGGAAGTAAAGTTGATGATCAATTGGTTTGCAGAGGAGGGATATGGTGTTGATGTTGCCAAGTTGAAAGAGGAAGAGCCAAGGTTGAGTGATTTCGAGACATGGCTCAGGGAAAAGAGCGGCTGGAAGTCACAGGTTATCGCAAAGTAGCTTTTTTAATTTAATGGCAGATTGCTGCTAGGAGTTCATCAGCGACCCAATTGGTGTAGAGGATCTGTTATTGGATTGGTGACCCCCATATGATGGTCTGAAGTCTTGCGAAGCATTACTAGTGATTAACTTAACTTTATTAAAACCAATACTAAATAAACCTCCAGAGTACACTCAAGTACCTATTACAGCCATCTACATAGAAAGCAGGTTGTACAACGCCAACCCACCAGCAATAACCGGTGTAACCAGTCTCAACCTATTCCAGCTCGCCCACCTGTTGGCAACAGTCTCCGCTTCGTCCAAATCCTTCTCTCTCGCCCGCTCCGCCAGCGCCTCCAACTTGTCATTCAGCGGCTGCATGTTGAGCGCCGAGTGCAAGATTGTAGTTAAATGCATTATTGCCGCAACACCAAACAACTTCCAATCACTGCGCGCAAGCATGCCCTCACGGTAGACCGAGAACCCTGCGTACGCGTACCCTAAAAACCCCAACGTCGAGATGGGACGGAAGAACTGGTTGCCTACAGTCCAGCAGAGAGGCCATTGGCGACCGAGAAGGCGGGCACGCGTTTTGTGGTCGGGGGAGCCTGGAGGTGGGAAGTCGACGAGGAGGGATGGGACGGTCATGTAGGACTGTGTGATTGCGTTTCCTGATAACCGTGAGTTTTCTGCCTTTGTTTTCGAGTAAAGGGGGGGTGCTGTGTGCGCAAGGCGTACCTGCGAGGATGAAGGAGAAGGTGATGCAGGTTCCTGCCACGCTTTTGACAATCAGGCTGTCTGACATGTTTACGTTTGCTACAGCGTATATCGTGCTTCACAGAGCCGCAATGGTAGAAATACAAAAGACGAGAAACTCGAAGACGATGTCCGGGTATTACTCGAGCAGCAGCGTCTGTCACCTACCCCTGAGCCCTTTGTAAACATAGACATCGGACCCCGCTCCTAATCATCCAATACCAACAAGTCCGTTCCGAATCTGAACGCGACCGTTTTTGGTTGCATAATCACGCATTCATGGTACGATATTTCGGTTCCCCACGTCGGCGAGATGGAATTGTCGTGATGGCACGTTGACCAGGGCTAGGTAATTACCTACATCATGACTTGGATATTTCCGCTTTGGGACTTGGAGGTGCAGGAACACCCGGGATGGTTTCATGCACAATAGCCGTGTACTACATGATAAGTCTGCAAGGCATCGATATACCGACTTTGAATATCCTGAATGCAGTATTCCGGCTGGTCGGTGGTTGAGGACTTGCGACGGCCGTGAGGCCAAGTTGTTCGCCACAACTGTCGTGAGCTAACACCATGAAGTAAATATGATATCTAAGTATGGTCGAGACTAGGTCAACCACAAATGACAATGCAGGGTTTTGGCACGTGCAGGACAGTCTGTGCCTCTATATGATGCAATACGGTCTGACTGCGGCTGCCATCTTAGTCTTGAACAGGCTCTGACTCTGTCTGCGAAAAAGATGATACACATGAATTGATACGCGTTGTTCTTGACTACAATTCATGGAATCCTCTTCTTCGATTGTTTTGGAAAAACCACCGAAAAATCATCACATATCGATGCTTTAGTACTATCCTAAAGGTATCAGAACATATTAGGGCTCCTAAAGCTGACCCACAGCTTCCTCATACATACACCACTGTACCTCAAGGCTGTGTGGCATGCTTGCCATTCACATGATGATCAACCTGTAGTTTTTATCTAGTTCCAAAACACGAGCCGAGAATGCCTTCAAGTCTTCTCAATGGTCCAAACTCATGTCTTATTTGAGTTGTATTTTCAACACGTACCTATCTCATGTCTTGTTCCAATCTCCACACCAGGTTCCCTTGGTCCTAAAATATATAAACCCCACCCCGGCCTGCATTTCCCCAACATGAACACTCGAAAGAGCGCGATCTCAATTACAAACCAGTGAACGGTCCCTGGAATGTCTCTGGCCTCTAGCATCCGTACAGCCATATTACCAGCCGTGGCTTCGTTCAAAAAGATGTGAATACGAACACAGCGATTGGCCGTAAAAATAGATCCAGTCTCGCGCTATACTTAGGAATGACGTGCGATTCGAAGTGGGAGAAAGGGGGGTGGCGATTTTAAAAGAAGGCAACAACCGCGTAAGAGAAGAAACTCAACCACAAGGACATGGACACATGCCATTCATCGTCTGTACCCTCAACACCATACCAAGAGCGAGAAAATCGGTGAATATCTTCTCTCTGCTGCGAGAAGGTTTTCCAATCCCATGTCCTCACAACTACATACGTCGTATATACAAACCCATACCACATCTAACCCACCGTTCCAAAACCCACTGCCAGGCACACAAGACTCGCTTCACCACCGTACACGCATCAACCCCACCCCACAGATTCACCAGCGCCTAACAAAGCAACAAACGGTCTTGACTGCACCCGCACACGCAGTAGCACCACCAACCCGAAGATCCAATCCCCACACGCATATACTCTGTTTTCAGACTTTCCTTCTGTTATACCCGCCTATGCCAACCCAACCCTCTCTTTCCCAAACCTCGGCTCCCTACCCCCATCATTCGAAACCAAGTAAAAGCTAGCCATGTGCTTTTCTCTCGCCGTGCCCTGCTCGGAAGCGTAGTAGTGGGTTTGGCGTGCACGTGCATGCTTAGGTGTGGGAGGGATAGCTGGGGATTGTGGGGGTGTGGTCAAGTGTGTATATACTACGTAGTCGTTTTGGGAGATATAGTGGAGGGGTCAAAGAAATTTCACGCTCGAAGAAAGAATGACTTTGAGGTTTCCGGAAAGATGACTGTATTCACCAAGCCTACCCGTATCTTCTACCTCGATACCTAACGTGACCATCGCCGAAGAAAAGAAGCAACCTCCTAATCCCCCCCCCCCCCAACTTTTCTTAAAAAAAAACCCCAAGGTAAAGGGATCCAGTACAAGGCAGTATGGTATATATCTGCTAGGGGAAGTGTGTATTGAACAAAAAAAAAATCCAGACAAAAACAACAGCAACAGCAACAATCAGAACTCAATAAGCCAAATGAAAAACTCATCAATAACAACAAAAAGACTCATTACATTCTCGCGATATCATATATACCAAGGCCAGGCAGGCAGAGAGAGAGAGAGAGAGAGAGAGAGAGAGAGACAGAGAAAGACAGACACAGACACAGACACAGAGAGAGACAAAGCCTGCCCAGCCTGAAATCCAATCAGGTCCAGCCCGCCCACCCAAACCGATCCAAACCCGACCAAACCCCCACCGTGTTTTGCCAAACCTGCATGGATGCCCCCTCCCAACCATGTGCTGTGCAATGCCTTTTTTCTCTCTCTTTCCTTCTTACATGCGGCTGCGATAGGGTCTGGGGACACGGGGTTGAAAGTAGCGATCAGGCAGCCTATTGCCATACTGATCAAACCTATAGTCCTCCTTTTGTTCGATCCATTGCTGCGGCACACGTATAATCAGCCGAGGCTCCCCTTTCCAAAAAAAAACAGCAAGAACAACGACGACGACGACAGCGACAGCGGCAACGCGGCGATAAATACAAAGGCAACACAAGACGAACGCACATCTACATCCTAGATGTGCGCGCACGCAGCGGATGGCGACCACTCACCTCGCGTTGCTCATAGTCGCGGCCCAGGGGCACTGGTTGCGGATTCAGTATTTCTTCGTCGCCAAAACCTGGGTCGCCCTTGAACCTACGCTGATAGTGTGCTGCGCCAATGGGCTGCGGGGCGCCATATTCCGCATACTCGCCGTATGGGTTCTGTGGCGCGGCCGGACGCGTGTTGCGCTGTACTTCGCTCTGCATCCACGTCTCGCGTTCAGGGAGACGGTCTTCAAACGACTCGGGACGGCGGCCTAGGGGCTGGGGGAATGGTGGTGGGACAGCATGGTGTTGCGGGGGCTCACGCACCTCGGGATAGAGTGGACGGTCTTCCTGTGGGTAGGGCGCCTGGCGCGTGTAGTGGTCGTGCTGCTCGTAACGCTCGTCGTACTGGGTCTCGTAACGGTGATCACGGGGAGCGGCATGCTGGTGGTGTTCGTCAAAGTGCGGCGGCGGCGGGGGCGGAGGGGGAGCGTGCTGGTGACGTTCGTCCATGTACACATCGCGGTGCTGCTCATAACGGGCGGCGGGCGGAGCCTGGTCATCGCGCTCGACCCACACGTCGCGGTGCTCCTCGACGACACGGCGTGGAGCAGCATCGCGGTGGTCCATGTAGACCTCGCGCTCCATCTTCTCGGTCGTGTGCTGGGGCGGCTCGCGATGGATGTCAATGTCAACGTGGGTTTCCTTCTTGGTCGTCTTGGCCTTGGGCTTGTGCGGCTCCTTGATGGGCTCCAGGCTCGTCAGGTAGCCGAGAACCTCTGACAGACTGGCATGCGCAATGTTGAGCTCCTTCTCGCGGTTCTCGAGCTTCTCCTTCTCGCTGAGCAGCCAGTAGACGCGATGACGGACACCGATGCGACGGCCGTCCTCGACGTCGCCGGCGACGCGCTCGGTATGGGGCGCCATGTTCTCGAGGGCGCCGCGAACGTCGCGCATGGCGCCGTAGACCCATTTGGACTTGTCGGGGTTGGACTCGAGGGCGTCGTGGACTTGACGCACCGAGAGCAGGCGACGGACCTCATCGAGATCGGCACGCACGCGCCCGATGATGCGCACATAGACGGCGTTCGAAGGCCCAACATCGCGCATGCGTTTGGCCTTGTACAGGAACTCGGTGAGTTTGTACGCACCGCCAATTGCGCTGGCAGCGGCGCCGAGAGTGAGGATTTCGCCCTTGACCATGGCGGCGAGCTGCTACTGGTGCTGTTGGTGCTGCTTCTACTGCTATGGCTGCTATTGCTTGGTGGTGGACTTTGCTGATGATGTTGGGAAACAACCGACACACCGTTAACCATTACCGGTAAACCAACGAGTCCCCGCTT